ATTTCATTGACTGTATACTTCACCCTCAAAATGTTTTTATGATTTCTCTTGTTTGAACCCCTCATTTTATTGTTGCATTATTTTCCTAAGTTCATATTGTTCTCTGTGTACTCTCAAATCTCACTGCCCTTCCTTAAAATAATTGTTTTGAAATCTTTTTCAGGTAACTCACAGATCTCCATTTCTTTGGGGTTAGTAACTTGAAAACTATCAAGCTCCTTTGGTAGTGTTGTGTTTCCTTATTTCACATTTCTGTGTCTTTGCATTAATGTTTGCTCATTTGAGAGAGGAGTCATCTCCTCCAGCCTTTTAGATTGATTTTGGTGGGGAAAGACTCAACAGAAAGTGGCTGTGAGGGCTCTGGCTGAGTAGGGTGCTGTGTCTCTGGGTCTGGAGAGGGCACACAGCATAATCTGTACACCTACATCAACTGAGATCAACATTGACAAAGACTGTAGGGTTCTTCTTTGACCAAGACTGCAGAGATCCTATAAGCAGCAACAGTGTCTAAGGCTCTTGGGGTTCTAGGTGGAAGAGACTGATGGGGTCTTCCTATTCTCCTTTTTTTTTTTTTTTTTAATTTTTCCTGTGGCAGGGAGTTCTATCCAAGGGGACTTCCTCTTGGTACCAGCTCTGGTGAACTGGCACCCAGTACAGCAGTGAAACCAGGGGTCCTGGGGCCCAGGTGCACTTGTTTTGATGGTAGTTCAAATGTCTGATGAGCATGCATGGGCAGATCTCCAAGGAACCAGGATCAGAGACTCGGAATCACCACAGTGATTTGGACCCCACGATGGGGGCACGCAGCAGTGGCACAGGCTCTGGGATGACAGGATACAGCAGTGACTCAGGCCCAGGATGAGGGGTGTAGCAGCAGCATGCCATGGGGATGGTGGGTCAAAGCTGTGACTCAAGACACAAGGGGTGTGGCACAGAGCTGTAGCATTACAACCCACTCATGGCAAGTCAGTGCCATGGCTTAGGACCCAGAGGGTGGAACAGAGAGCAACAACAGCAGCATCACAGCCTAGTAATGGCAGGTCAAAGCCACAGCTTATGACTCCAGGGATCAGTCACAGAAAAGCAGCAGGTCAGCCCCAGTGATGGCTGATCAAAGCCATGACTTAGAATCCTGAAGGCAGGGCACAGAAAGCAATGACACTTCTAGTTTCACAAATGGCAATGTGCTGTGGCATCCCAGTCCCAGAGAGTGGGGCACAGCATCAACCACAGCAGTTTCACCACAGCAGTAACTCCAGTAAGTCCCTGGTGAGGAGACACAGCAGGGAGGAGACACTCAGTGTTGGTGCAGACTGGGAGTGCTCTGTGGCAAAGTCTACAGATGGCCATGGCAGTGATGAGAGTTACTTGGGTGCTCCTCTCCTTTTCCCATCGGGTATAATCCCTCCAAAGGGGTTCCTCTTTGCACTGAGCTCCTCTGGGCTGGGAGATGGAATGAAGCAGGTAAAATGCTTCTTAGACTTTTCTATGAGGCTGTGCTCAGTATTTGAGCCCTGCAGGGCTTCTGCTGCTTCTTAGTTATAGTCTCAAGCTTTCCCAGAGCTGGTTTGTCTGTTTATAGTTGTTTATTCACTGTTTTTGTGGGGAGACAAGCTTTGGGACCTCCTAGCCAGCCATCTTGCCAATATCAGTCCCTACAGTGAAATTTTTGTTTTATTTCATTTGTTTATTCATTTGTTTGAGAAAGTGGAAAAGAATAAGGAAAGCTAGTAGTGGAGAATAAGTATAAATCCAAACTTTGGTTTGGTGGAAGGGGTAGTTTTATCTATAGTTAAACCTTTGCTAATCAAGTTAATGGTGCAAATAACATAGGTCGTGTTTTGTAGTGTATTTACCTTTTGTTTAAATATTAATCCTCTGCTTTTTAATATTGATTTCTATTCCTTAAAATGTACGATTTATCATGGCCCATAAAAAAGAAGCAACAAACCCATTTAGGATTTAAATTTTTTCTCTAGCTTGTCTATATGAAGATAAGAAAAAAAACATATTTCAAAAATGAAAACTTATGAGTTAATTTCTACCCATCAGTGCCTATAATGCAGTAGGGAGAATATGTGTCAGCTCATCAGGTTGAGATGGACATTCTGGTAGTAGGCCGTAATTTGGAACTGAATGAATATATGAATGTGTAAAATTGGGAGCTAGTTTGATGCTCAATTTAAGAGAAACAAAAAGCCTATAAACTGCAATTGGTCTTTGGAAAAAAAAATAAAGAGTATCTTTGCTGGTAACTTTAGAGATCCTAGCATGTCTAAGGATTTCAGCAAATTCACAGAGGAGCAACTCATAGTTGAGAACAGAGCTTTATTAAATAAAGTTTAAGTGGTATATATCACATAGAAGCTGGATTGTTGGGTTGAAGATGACTGCGTTATTGATTAATTTTTAGTAGTGGGGGAGGTGGTCCCAGCTTTTCCCTGCCGAGGGCTGACTTTTACTAAGTGGGAGTATCTGTAAAGATATAGAAGCAGGGAGTCACTCATAGGATCTGACAGTGGAGAGTAAGCAGGATACAAAGTGTTCATGAGAATGTGGCCTCTGGAAGGCCCTCACACCAAGCAGTGTTTAAATTTAGTTTCAGCATTCACAACACAAACAGAGAGAAATTCATAGTTGACACAAAGATGAGCTGTCCTCATCCATCTTCCTTTAAAGTTGCTTACTCGGGAAAGGATGCCAAATTTGGGATGTTCCCATAATCACCCTCCACAGACAACATACATCCTTTGTACATCAAAAGGAAAAAGCTGTGACTCAGGCTGGAGGACCCCAGGGGATTGGTTTGCCGAAATTGCTCTTCACTAATCACATGCTTGTTTGTCCCTTCTCTATTTTAGAATTGGAATAGGAAGCACTTATTCCAGAAATCTGGGGCAGGTCTAAACTCTGGCTTTCTTGTTAAACGTGGCTACGCGAAGTCTCTCTAGTCTTGTAGTCATTTGCAAACAATAGTGACAAATCATCTGTGAAGGTGAATTGATCTTTGAAAAGTAACCTCTTCAGTACTGGACAGAACCATTTCACATGCCCACCCTGGAAAGATGAAACTTCGTAATTTCTCAGGTGTGCTCAGCCAAGACTCCGTCTTCCCTTGAGCCAAAACTGCTTTTTCAAGCAGGACTCACTTCAACCATTTACCTTTATGAGGAATCCAGCTTGACTCCCAGGTCCATTTATCTCCATGTAAACCATCCCCCCTGCTTTCAATATTATGTTAAAGGTTGTCACTGTGGTTGTAAAATTTCAAACATCAAGGTCAAGAACCTGAAAGTATGACTTTGGCATAAGCCTCTTTAAGGCAACTGTGGTGGGGGATTGCGGGGGAGTGGGGGTGCCGGTGCCGTTTCAAGACCTGAGGCTCCCCTGCCTGCGATTGTGGGAAGACACTCTATCCATTCCTGCAAGTTATTTGCGGCTCTCTGAGGAGCTCATCTAATGCTGTTCCTCAGTGCACACTTGTAGGAGGTAAAGCTGGACTTTTCTAGTCCTTCTTAGAATGTTTGCTTCCATCCAAGCATCCAGTGGCACAAAAAGTCTGATGGTAAATGAGCGAGCTCCCAGACAGAGGTCTGAGGAAGGAAACGTGGAAAGTGCCACTGTTTTCTCATCCTTGAAATGCTGATCTGGAACGAGCTGAAGAGCCACACGACCAGCCTCTGAAGTGTCAGCCTGCGTCCCAAAGCCTGACAACCGTAGTAAATCCTGAATAAGCTGAATGTTTGGAGGAGAGGTTTTGAAGGGAATTGAATTTTATGATGAACAGGAAGTTATGCAGAAAACCGTTTTTGTTTCGCCTCCTGTAGGTAGAGGGCTTTCAGAAAAGCTTGCTTCCACTTTTCTCTCTTTGGGTGTAATTTTAAATGTAATTTAACCATTTTTAGATATAAACTCTTCGGCCCCTCCACAGCATTATCTTACTCATAAAAACTTACTATTTCCTATAACGTGGCTGTTGAAGGTAAATATATTGGACTGGAAGTATGCAAACTCTAGCATCAAAGTTATTAGCCTAAAGGGGAAAAAAACCCTTAATAGGAGATTTTGTCATTTTTCTGCTTTTCTGAAAACAGATTATAGAAAAAAATCCATCTAATTGAAGGTTAAGAATTCTCTGGGTATGACTAGTCCTAGTTTAAATAATGAAAAATGTGGTGAAAAGGGTAATTTTCTTCCTAAGTCCTGGATTTTAGTTCTGTTTCATTCTGGGTTTCATTATGAGACTCAGGGCAAGTCACAAGAGGCCCTGTGTCGTCCAGCTCTTCTCGTGCTGAGCTGTAGAGTGTATCTTACAGGAAGAAAAAAATCGTGCAGTTTTACTTGATTTACTGGAGTACATCATATTATTGCCATTAGTATCCATTTTCCCATTTTCTTTTATGGGAGTATTTTATCCCACTATGATTATTCATACACACTCTATATGTACATGTGTATGTACATAAAATTATGTAAGATTCAAGCTTTCTGTAACGTCCGCAGTGTACAGAACTCCTTAGAGATCACTGTATTTTAGCAAGGAGGAAAGGCCTCTGCTAGTGTTTTGTTTCCAAGCTTTTCACGGAGACTATAAATGAGGCCTGGGAAGGCTCTAACGAGTCAGTAATTTATAGACTATTAAGATAGTTAATTAGAAGTGATTCTTGAGCATATCCAATCAAGAACACATGTTTATAAAGGACAAACAGATTCAACACAACATGTCTCTGACCTAACCAAACCCAATCAATTAACAAAATGGGATCTCTTAGTTTGCATATCTCCCACTCCCCCCAAAATAGAATCGCTAACCACTTGTTAACCACACTGACTTTCTACCAGAGAGAGTGATGGCCCCAGAAATGTTCAGATCCAGCACCCAGTTACAGTGTAGGCAGCAGAGTCTACAAAACAGGAAGAAAGCCCTGCTTGCTTTTTTGCCTCCTTTCCTGGTTTGACTTGATGTGATAATTCATTGCAGATTTCTTTTTCTTTGACAGAGTGCCTACCGCAGGAATGGGATGGCTTTTCTGGCCTGCTGATGGGACTGTGACTGTAACAACAGGAAAGGCAATGTTATATTAAGGTGATTTCTGTTCCCCTCTTTGGAAAAAATAAAATACAAGTTTACCTTCTCTGTATCCTCAGGAGTGGGTTGGTTTGTTGTGACTATCAACTGGCTGACTGCAGCTCTTTTTTCCAGCCCTCTCAATGCTTCGTCTTGTTTACTGGCTGGGCCGTTTAGCTAATTAATGGCAGGATGTTTGGGATAGTGTGTAGGTGGACAAGAATGCAGATCACACAATTTTGAAATTTTAATTTGGAATGGATTTACTGCCCTCAGCTCACATATCTTAAAAGCAGTGTCTTTTCTCCACCACCGTCTCCCGCCCCACCCCCTGCAGTGTTTAGTCTGTGTTTTATTTGATGCATTTTGTAATCCAGGTTTGGGACAAAGGAAACAAAATTAAAAGGACAGTCACTTCTCCCCTGGCACCGTCCCACCAACTTCACTTTGCAACATCTGCTGATTACATATATCCTACTCGTATTTTAGAGACCACTAGTCATTTTATAAACTCAACACTAATCAGAGACATAATCGATCTGATGAACTGTCTGTTCCCATCTTCGCATCCCTTGCCCCCACTTGCAGCGTATGTGTTATCTGTCATGCCTTCTTCCCGAACTTCCTGAGGATCTGCCTGTTGTGCGTGTTCTCCCTCCTCAAGGCCCTCTTCCCTGTCTTCATGTCTCTCCATCCCCTGTCCCTCCAGTCCCCAGGCCCATCACACACACACACACACACGCACGCGCACACACACACACACACACACACACAGCCGTTTAGAAGCAAAATAATCAGAATACGTTGATTAAGAGAAGTTGAGTGATTTGCTTTCTCCCTCTGAAGCATTCCCACAGCTACACTGGGATTGTGGACTGGGTAATTTCTTGCTAGTAGCAACTGAGCTACCCTTCTGGTGTCTCTACTTTTCTCCATTAAATGAGGAACTCAAACTTTTAGAACAAATCAAAATGTAGCAGATGTAATTGTACAGTTCCTGCTTCAACTTGAATTACAAAAAAGGAAGTTATTTCTTTAATTTGGTAGGACTTCTGTGCAATTTTATTTTTATCGTGATTTTTGCACAAACCGAAAGAGCCTTTTGTAAAGCATTAATAAAAACAGAAATAAGAAGCATGAAAGATTTTCCTCCTGTGACCAAATGATCGTGAGTCTCCATTAATATGATTGTGCCATACTGTTGACATTTGTTAACTATCATTTACCTGTTCTGTGTTAGTCCTTCTGGAAAAAATCTTCATGTCAAGAACAAAAAAACGCAGATATATAATACCAAAAAATTGCCAAGGGGTTTTGATGTTCCATCTGTGCTTATTGAAATGTATGATTAAACTTTTCTTTTTATCATCATTCTTATTTTTCTTGGCATCCCTAATCATGGAAAATTATAAGCTTGCAGTAAACAGCCTAACTTTTAAAACGACAGCATTTATTGTATTTGGTTTCGATCTGCCGGGCTTATAGATGTATAAAATTTTTAGGGGCTAATTTTTCACATCAAAATTCCTGCTCTCCCACATTATACATTTTAAAGTATGCACAAGGCAAAAAAACACAGGGTTTAGGTTTTTTTCCCTTCATTTTATTCTACCTGATCTCCTTATAGTCCCAGAGAAGGAAGACTCAACGTACATTTCTCTCAGAAATATGACAGGTCTGTGTTTTTGTTGGTCTGGCATATGTTTGTCTATCTTGAACAGTCTGACAGGTAATTATTTATAAAATCTGGTTTTACCCAGTAAGTCCATATAATAACCTTTCACTTTTCATCATAAGCCAGTGAGCTGAATTTAGAATAAAACAAGGTCATTTATGTCTGTCCCAAACCAGCCTAGATGTCCCCATAATTGCTCAATATTAATATTTTTAATTCTTTTTTTTCTTTTCTACACTTAGCTTCTTTCTCTGACTCTTTCAGCAACACTGAATTTGAAATAAAACTCAGTGAAATAAAATGAAATCAAATTTTCTTAAGCAGCGGGTATACAAAAAAATGTATAGAAGGAAAATCTCAGAAAATGTGACTTCACGATTAAAATGTTAGGTAAAATCATAAAATGTTAGAGCAGAAGAGAGTCTTGGAAATCATTGCAAACAACCATTCATTTTCCCAATGAAAGTATGTAGCCTGGAGAGGGAAGTTAACTTTCCCAAGGTCACTCAGCAGTGGCAGTGACGGCCCAGAGACCAGATCCATGGCCCCTAATTCTCAGGCTACCATTTTGCTCCACCATACTGGATTTGCATAAGATACTCCCAAGTCACATGGAATTTTATGTCATGTTTATCCTAGATGATAACCTACATTTATTTTTAAATGATACTAGTTTGGGCATATTATAAAGCGTAAGTGTTACATTAAAATCTTCAAAGGGACATGGTAAAATTAAATAATCTGTATTATATGTCAGTTATCATCAGTTTTTTGGGTTGTTTTGTTGTTGTTTTTTAAAGATTTTATTTGTCAGAGAGAAAGCAAGGGCAGGAGGAGCAGCAGAGGGAGAGGGAGAAGCAGGCTCTCAGCTGAGCAAGAAGCCCAATGCAGGGCTTGATCCTAGGACCCTGGGATCATGACCTGAGCCAAAGGGAGATGCTTAACTGACTGAGCCACCCAGGAGCCCCTATATATCAGTTTAAAAAAAAAAAAAAAAAAAAAAAAAAGAGGTCTGCAAGCAGGGGAGAAGGAACTAATATACTTTGAGCACCAACTCTGTCAGGAACCTCACCTCTGGGATTTCATTGATCTTCACAGTGATTTCATGAGATAGAGGCTATCAGAAACAAAAACAACCACATCAGGCTCATTTCTAAATCAAATGTGAATACACAAAATAATCTGTATTTTTGTAGCCTTGTGTTTTGGAGATCAAATCTGAAAAAAATAAGTAAAACCCAACAAATCAGTAAAAATAGCCCCTCTTATGGGAAATTGACAGGGCCTCGTAGATTTGAGGGTAAAGGAAATAGAAATATTTCTCCCTTCACTTAAATTGGGAATGTGACGTTCCGAACATGCCATTTTGAGGCCATGTCATTAACCTTCCTGCCTTCACATATTGCAATAGTTAAGATTCAGAAATAATGTTCCAATTTTAGAACCAAGAGTTTTTATTTAAAAACCATCAGAAGCACAAATATTTTTTAAACGGTGTATATAATTCCTGTATCTGGGGAAAATTCTTCATTTATTGCTGTTGTCCTTTGTTTCTATAAAATAATAATCCACATGAATGCTTTTACCACATAGAAGACAAATACACATAAGTGGCGATTCTTGGTCTGAAAGAAGACAAGTTTCCTTGTCTAGAAATTAGAAGGTTTAATTTTATGAAAAAATGTTATATAGTTCCCAAATCAGGTATTTCTTTCCAGTTCATATAACCCCTTGTGTAAAACTGAATCACTACAGAGAAATATTCCCTCCTCTACCCTCCTGGAATTTAGATAGAACCTTCCCAGGTTGCATTTAAAATTCTGCCTTCAACCATGTATACATCTCATAAAATATTTTATGGTTTCCGGTATGCTCTGGCTGAACATTTCATAGTACATAAACACTTCTGCAAATAATAGGAGGGCATCAAGCTGAATGACTGTGTCACGGCAGTGGCTCCCACAGAAAGCTGATTCTCCAGCAATGTATTTTTCTTATTTTTATCTCCTTATTCGAAATCCAAGATAAAACTTTCCGTGCTTTTAGAGTAAAGGGGAGGGGGTGGAGGTAGGCGTGGGACTCTAACAGTGTTCCAGGAGCTGTGTTCATTAAAGCAGAGGCTTTCCACAGAGGCCATCAAGCCAAACTTAAAACAACAAAACCATGCCTGCAGGAATTAGATATGAATGTGATAGCCAAATAAGGGCCAGATGCCTTTCAAAACTCAAATATTTAAAAAAGTCCTATCTCTTAAAGTAAATCTCCATTGTTGGGAGTGATACTGTAGCACTTAAAAAAAAAAAAAAAAAGCCAACACAAGGAACGAGACTTGCATTTGTTTTCTGGAACAAAATATCAGATATTCAAGCCATCATAAGTCATCGGAGCTTTGGCAATTGAAGCATGTTTTAAAACAATTCCTAGAAAGTCACAAAAAACCTACATACAATATTTCATTGTTGGAAACCACTGTAACTCTGTATAGAGCATTATATTCATGTTCCTCCTTCTGCTCATCGCCACCTAATATTCACTATTCCATTTTTTTAAAGGAAAAAAATTACTGGCAATTCTTTATTGGGATATTGGGAAAATCAAAAAATTCTGGGAAAAATCAAGAATCAAGATGATCGCTTATTTAATTTTACTCAAACCAGGTTAACGCTTTGCTTGCTATCAAAATGAGGCTATGTTGTACCAGCGTTTTAAGAATAAGTTTGACATAATAATTACAGCACTCCATTTGCCATCCTGTGTACCAAGTACTTTGTCCGAATTGTTCCATTAGATACTCACAGCCCCTTCGCAGGATGCGCACTGTTACCCCCCCACCCCACCCTCCGTTGCCCACAGGTAGCAGAGAGGAAGCCAGTGGAGCTGGCATTTGTACCCAACGCATTGACCCCCAAGCCCATATCCTTCGCCACTGTTCCACCGCGTGGAGCATGCTCGAGTATAGGTTTCTAATAATGTATTAAAGAGAATTGTTGCTCTGAACCTAGAAGCACTTCTCAATACCAGAAAACTGGTTACAAGAAAATTCCATTTTAACTGAATATTCTTTCTCTAAGGCCAAGTACTAGGTATATAATGGGATATCATATCACATGCCATAGACTATAGTTACGTTGAATGATGCCAAGTCCTCTATAATGTCTTAAATCTAAAGATAAATACATATGATCAATGCACATACTCAGAATCCCTATACAAATTATAAGAAAATCTTCCTCAAAGATCCAAGATCCATGTTTATAAAGCCTCCTTTATGAAGATCAAATTTCTCCAGAAGGCTCTAACTACTTATGCTACAGTTTTATGCTTTCATGCAAGGTATGCTTGT